CAGTAGGAGAAAAGTTTTAATTTTAAGTTTTTATAGCCATGTAAGTCATATGTGTGACATAAAAAATAGTATTTTCAGGAATTTTTGATTTTTTTCTTTGGTACATTTTTACCTAAATTATTTAATGAAAGATGGTATAAAATTTCTAATATCGTGGCGATTAACGTGTTAAATTAAAATGCTGTTATATTATTAAATTTTAATTTTCAATTTTACAATTTTCTTGTCGAATACTGAGATTCCGAATTAATCAGAACTTCATCTGAAAACTTGACAAGATTTGCGAAAACTCTTGAATAATAAAGTGCAGATCAATATTTCTCATTAGCTAAGTGAAAATAGGTATTTAAAGCACAGGATGCGATGAGGAAATTCTATCTTGTCAACTATAAATTCCACGCGAGCGCAGGAAATGAATCCGTTAGCATGTCTGCGAAATGAATTTAAAAGGAAACGCAAAGTAAACGAAATATCACTCTATATATATTTTGTCGAAACGAGTAGTTATGAAACCACATGCAGTAATGGGAATAACAAATATACAAACAAATCGGGGATTATCAAACGATATACAAATATTTATTGTAATTGAAAGGAAAAGTATTAATATCAGTATTAATAAAAATAGACTATAGTGAGAGTATAAAGGAGTTCATAGAAGAAAGTAGTTAATTTAGTTGTTCAATAGATAAAGCTTCCTCAAAAGCCAAATAAATAATTATATTCATATTATATATATATATATATATATATATATATATACATATATATTAAAATGTTTTATATGTATATATTAAAATAATTTGAGATTCAATCTTCTGGGCAATACATCAATTAAAAATTTGTAGAAACTTATAACATTTTTATTGTTTCCATACGTTTCGACACATTGTTTTGTGTCATCTTCAATAGAATGTAATTGTAATATTCCTAATTATTTCCTAATAATCATTGTTCACAAATGCACTATATAATTTTTTAGAAATAATATCTTATTGTAGAGTACACGTTGCAAAGTCGATGTCCGATGCGACATATATATATATATATATATATATATATATATATATATATGATGATAGTTTATATATATGTATATATATACATCTATTACCTGTTTTACACTTTATCGATCTTAGACGGTTCTTGTAATACAAAATTTTTTTTCACAGAAATTTATTAATTTTACATTTACACAAAATTATAAACGCACAATTGTAATTTGCTTATATCTACAAATACAATTCAATTGTTTTACTGTCAAAATACAAGATTAGAAAATGTATGTTATATTTATGATTTATTATTATTAGTAGTATATCATGTGGTGGAAATATGTAGATAGGATGAAAACTCCCCGATTTATGACCAAGACTAAATTTTATGTGTGTATAAGCTAGCAAAAATTTTTAATTAGTGTTTATATATAATTGATAGCGCGAAAGAGTTTTTTTTATATTCGTTTATTATTGAAATAATATTGAAGTTATTAAATGTGTTTGATATTAAGTATATTAATATTTATTTTTCGTCCAATGTGTTTGGAATCCATCGTATTAAAAACTGACAAAAAGGCTTTTTATAGTGATTTTCGTTTAGCACGCTTTTTCCATAAAAAATGGAATTTTTGGAGTTACTCGGTTTTTGTGAAACCTATCTTTCGTGTAAAACGGGGGTTAAAGATTGGTTTAAAGTTTAAATGTTTAAGGTTTAAATTTAAAAATAGGTTTAAAGATCGAAACTTCTATCAATATATAATTGTATGAAAGCATTTTTTTAAAAATATTTTAAATCCATACGTTTCGGCTAACATCCTAGCCTTCATTCAATGGAATATACTGTCAACTATAATAAATAAATTATAGTAAACAATTTGTAACAGTTTAAGAATAAAAATAATAGTAATAATAAACTTATCTAAAAACACATACAATTTGGTAGCCTTAATTAATTAAACACTTTTGCTCAATGGCATTAGAATGTGCACTATTGTAAAATATATACTTGAAAATCACAACTAGCTATACAAATAAACATGTATAATATTTATTAACTTATCGAAACTGTATTTTGACTAAGCTTAGGATAGAAATATCGAATTTTTAAAAAGAAAATTTTCTTTAGTGTGCAATAGTATTTAATATGATATAACAAATTATAAGTGCTTTTGAATTGATTTATTATTACTATTATTTTTATTCTTAACCCTTTCCACACGCGAATTTCGAAATTAATATGTTTTTTGCCGTCGGAGCGGCGGCATCCGAGTGGAAAGGGTTGTTTAATTAAATGTTACAAATCATTTACTTTGTTTAATTATTATAGTTGGCAGTATATTCTATGTTATTTTCAGTGAAATATTCCTGATTTAATTCAATTCGAAAAAGATATATTAGAATATATATGATTAAAATGTATGAGGTTATTATCTAAGGGTATTATACAATGTTTATGAATATTGTTATAAATTTTATATTTGTAATCAGTATAAATAATATATGAACAAAAAAGAAAAAAGTTAACAATTTCCAAAAAAAAACAATTAAATTTATTGAATTATTACTAATGATAACAATAATAATTCTCAATAACAATACTGCATAATTTCTTGCCATTTGAAATAAAAAATATATTTATTTTTAGATTGCATCAGATTAACAAAAAATATATTTTTTGTGAAACAGAAATTTAGAAATATTGTAGTAATGTTATTGTAAATCATTATTGTTATCATTTGTTAATTGGGAACATTCCAATTTACATTGTACAGAAAATGACATAAGATAATATGTTGAAACGTATGAAAATAATAAAGATTTTATAAATTCCTACAATTTTTATTTGATGTATTGCCTTAAAGTATTTGACCTATTCCTCAAAATTGCATACATATTTACAGACTAGTTTGATCTCTAAATGTGCAGATTTAGAAAATCAATTAAGATTAAGAGAATTTGCGCCATAAACTACTTCATAAAACTTGATGCATTGAAATTTAATGTTTTTTTTTCAATATATCATGCGTTAGATTTAACAAATGTTAGCAAATAAAACCCATAAATTAGAAAAGAAATAAAGATAGCTTATTATATATATAACAAAAACGTATTGGATGAAAACATATTGTTAATGAAATCAAGAATTTCACAATTGACATTTTACATCTGTTAATATAAATTTCACATTGGCATGTGTTGGTAAATACCTACCTTCGCATTTAAATTATACTCATATTAAATATTATCACAAACATATTTCACTTGCTCAATGATTCGAACATATCACATTGCACTTCATAGACACTTGAATGATTATAATGTAATTCCGATCAGCTTCATAATCATTATTTTGAATCGACGATAATGCTTTAATATTTACATTAAAACATTAATAAACCTACGTAAGACATTTGTGAGACTAGATATAACCTCGGACACATTGAATACAACTATACCGCCGTACCGGTATCAGATAAAACACGTGGGCGATAGACTAGAATGAGGACTTTGCTATATAATTACAAAAACTGGCATAGAAGAAAATATATAAACAAAATAGACGCCGCGGTAATAAACACTGTTAGTGGTAAGGTGACCATATATATATTTTTAAAACTCAAAACCGGGATGGTAATTTTTAGTTATGCTAATTACTAAATGCTATTTAAGGGGGTATTCTAGTGTGGAAAAATGAATTTTAAGTCATTTTTAAATCATAGTAAAAAAAGCAATATTTGATTTTTAATAGTATTTTTTGATTATTTATCAACGTTACAGGAGTACAGAAGAAAGTAAAACAAAAAAAAAGTTAATAATTTTAAAAATTAGCAGTGGTTGAAGTGGAGGTTACAAAATATTGGCACGTGTTTATTCTGCGTACACGATTACAATTCTCCTAGTAATCCAAAATGAAAAAAAAAGGTTATTTATCTAGAATGATGTTGCAATGGTTAATACTAGGATTAAGTTAAAAAAAATTTTTTTTGACAAAATGGCGACTGTTGTAAAAAATGTCATTTTCTTACTACTTTTTTGAGTTTCTAGATTTTTTAAAAAAAATAGTAAAAATTTGAAATTTGAGATAAGGCTAGCATATACAAGAAAGAAGTCTATAAAGAAGATTCTCTTAAAATTTAAAGTAAATTGGTTCACTAGAACTCAAGAAATCGTGGGTATCGTATTGAAAAGAACAGTTTTTTGTTGACTGTGTTTAAAGTTTTACAAAAGGAAGGAATCAGAAGAAAATTATCATAGACAAATAGCCGTATCTTTGAAAATAATTTAAATTTTAAAAAATCCTCTCGTACATATAATAGGTTGTCAAATATCTCCCTTCCGCCTTTTTGTATTATAAACCAAGAGCAAAAAAGCGGAAGGGAGATATTTGACAACCTAATATGTACGTTAGGATAGTAATAGTAGTTAAGCTTTAAAAATATGACAAAAACAAAAAAAAACGATTTTTTAGAATTTCTACACTAGAATACCCCCTTAAAGACGCGATAGAAATTGGGTTATTTTAAATGAATTATCAGAAATATTGACTTCTGGTTAAAACTTTATTATTATTATATTATTTTATATCTTTTATTTGTGGATCTATATATTTTTAAGGCAATCTTATAAAATTCTGTTCAAATTTCTTCATAATTAGCCCTTATGCCAAGTTGTCAAAAGTTCGTTTTCACAATTTTTATTAATTTGTGTAATATTTAAAATAAAAGTTTAAAATTATTAATGTGACAAACTATTCTAACCCGTCTTTGGAATTTTGTATTCGAAAATAATTTCATTCATAACGTATTGTTTCAGAAGAAGTACTAGTTGTAATTGTATTATTAACTTATTGCAAAGATTGAATTTATTTATTGAAAAAATACTTTTCAAAAACTTGGGACAAAAGGTGTAAATCGTAGGCCAAACCGGGTCCTATGGTCACCTTATTAGTAGGCCAATTTTTTCCGCGATGACAGCACTGGGTCTTAAAATCAACTGACATACCTTTTCCGAAAACGTCTTTTCAGCGCACCGAACATGTTGGAAAAATGTTATTCCATAATAAAAATGGCACCAAATTACGGCATAACAAATGATCACTACACATAACCTCAAATGATTTTATAAACACACAGAGATAACGTCTTATTTCTTATGCATCCGCACGACCCATTTTGGTAATGAACAAGTGTGTTTGGGCCACAGTATCACGTTTTTTTGTTTACATAGTCCACAAACTAAAATATGATACACATTTAATTATTATAACAGAACGCGGACCACGAGCAACCGAGCAGTCCCTAGCGTGCCCGCACGCCTACTGATGCCTAACGTTGAAGCCGCTTCACAAGCGGAGCGAACCACGCTATTCGAAGCAAACCGACACTCGGAGGGGATCGCTTTAGGTTCGGATGGTACTTCGGCCGCCAGTGTCGTACGCAATTTGGGACTCAAGTGCCAAAACGAAACTACGAGTTCAAGAGGATAAATAATGGCTAATTAATTCATTATTATGAAATTTGTATGCTAATTCAATGTCAATTCAATATCAATGTCAAAACTATTAAATACACAACCAACCTGAGAAGTTGTAAAAACTAATAGAATTTTCACTAAAATATATCAATTAATTTTTATATGTCAATATTAATATTTTAAATATGAATGCAGTGGCGTAGCTACCACCGTATAAATGATACGAGGCCCCCGCAGCCCAACGTGTTTAAGCTAACAGTAAAATTCAATTCCATTGCATTTTTTATAATTCACAAAAGACAAAAGGCAGTAATTTTTTATAAATCATGAAAATTTGGGACCCACTAAATTTATTTTCAAAACTAGTGGTGCATGGCTTCTCGCCTTAAGGCTAGAACTTCCCGTAACAAAAATTAAAATTTTTAGAAAAGCTTTAAAATTGTTTGAAATCATTCAAATAAGTAGATTTTTGAGATTGTTGAAATTGTTGGGAAAGTCTGACTTTACTGAAAAAGCTGATTTTTTTATATATCTAAATTTTGAAACTTTGGAAATTTTTCAAAACATTGGCGCTACGTAACTGTTTTAGAAGCGAAATATCGAAACGCGTAAGAGCCGCGGTGCTGTCTTAGAGATGAATATTGGTACGGAACCAAGAAATGTAAACAAAATAATAATAATTTGATGTGGTATGTGTAATGATCATTTTTGACCGCCAAATGGCTTTTTTTTTTCTTTTTTATTGGATCTCCGAAACCGCTAGACTAGACTTCCCAAAAACATAATTAGGTCTTTATTTCGTCAAATAAAATGTGTTTTGAATCATTCAAATCGGACGCTTCGTTACCTAAAAAACTGAATTGCCATTTTTAGCACTTTTTGCCCCGTAATTGGACCCGCCTTTGCCAAAAACTAATCAGCATGTCTCGCCGTCAAATTTTCATTTACAATTTTCTTGCGATGACTACTGATATTGTCGCGTCACTTAAAATTCATTACTATTACAGAAATTAATTAAATAAACATTCTATGCGTGATAAATATACAATTTACTGTATGTAAATTTAAAGCATCATACAAGAAGTTAAAAAAGATGAGCGCAAAGAATAAAAAAATGTAATTTTAGAGGATTAAGAATTCTTAATGCTCATCACATTTTTTTCTACACTATTTGAAATCATGAATGTGGAGCATGTTTCTCAAAAATCTACAGCATGCAAATAATTACTATTAGAAAACTAGTTATTTATTATGTTATTTTTGGAATAGATTAGGCAATTTAAGAAATCAAAATTCATTCAATAATTTCCTAAATAAGTCAAGGGACCAATTCTTGGATAAAATAGCTATGCTACGTTATCTGTCAAAAGGCCTATGTTGATAAATCGCATAAGTTGGTAGTCAAATTCAGAAGAACTGTCAAAAAGCTACGTCTTTGCTGCTTGATCGAGCATCTTATACAATATTAACTTCTAAAACCTAACTTATAAATGACACAAACGTCAGAATATAAATTCAGTTCGACTTTAAGCATGTGTTAACATAGGTGAATTTTTTTTGCACTTGTGATAACATATACGAAAAGTGGAACTAATGTTATATTTAATTTATATAAGTTAATAAAGAAATAAAATGTAGTAAAAACATTTTTCAACTCTGTAAACTTCTTGAAGAATAGTGGCTTAAATTTTTCATCAAGTGACAAGAAATTGTGGCACCCATGTTAACATACACGCGATGTCAAACTAATACAATATATGACATTTATGCCATTTGAAGGTTAGATTTTAGAAGTTACTATTGTGTATAACGCTTGATCAAAATGCAAAGATATAGTTTTTTGACAGTTCCTAACTACCAACTAATACGATTCCTCAACATAAAAGACCGGTAACATAGCTATTTTATCCAAAAATTGGCCTAATTTTTTTTCCTTTTCATTACGATTTCTGTGCTGCAGTGCGTCATTTTTGTTACCAATAAGTACTTACAGTGAGTATAATTCAGTTTGAAGAATAATATCAAATATATAATAATTCAAAAGTGACGCATGTCGTAAATATTTCAAATTATAGGTAAAAATTCTTCCAGTTATAATGCATTATCAATTGCACAATATGTACAGCTATAGATAAGATATGTACAGATTAGATTTTCTCCTCCTACAAAAGAGAACTATGTGTTTTTATCACATTAATTTATTACAATAATGCGATTAAAATTAATTTGCAGCGAAATATTAAAAAAAAACATCTGTATAATTGATGACCAAACTGAAGAAAACATCAAATTTCTGTATAAATTCATATATCATTCATATATCATACATATATCCATAATAGGTAAATTGTATGTTTATCACGCATAGAATGTTTATTTTATTAATTTCTGTAATAGTGATGAATTTTAATTGACGCGACAATGTCAGGTAAGGGCTATTAATATACAAGTCACAATGTAAATTTCTTATGGAAAAAATAATAATTTATTGCTCTTATAACATTGCTGTGATTTATCAAACCAGAGTAATTATTTGACTAAAATTTAGTAAATGTTTCAATTTGGGCTCGCTCGTAGGTAAGCGGTTAAGAGCGACGGGACTCAATTCAGAGGACCCGGGTTTGATACCCATTTCGAGCAGCCTGTTGTCAAACGGTAGTGACAACGATTTTCACTTGGAAATATAGATAACAATACGTTTCCAAATGAAAATAGCCCTCACCCTGCATTGCCTCACTAATAAAAAGTCAGCTCTATTAGATAAATTCTAATAATGAAGTCATCGAATATGGATGGATTAACCATTGAGTTACCATCTAAAAATATGAAGTAAGGAGAAGTTTCAGCCCAACAGCTCATAAGATGTTAAGTTCTGATTGCAATAAAAGAAGCTAATTTATTGACATATTGTTATTTATATTTGAACTAGTTTGAGGTAGTCCATGTTGATAACATTAACATACGAATAGCTCACATAATAATGTAAATAATAGTATACATGTATCAAAAAGTTGATTTTAGTACATCATTAATTTATTCTTTCAATATATATATATATATATATATATATATATATATATATATATATATATATATATCAACAGATGTAGATATCAATAGATGAATATTAAAATATTAACCCATTAAAATACAAGCAACCAAGGTGCATGGCATCGTGCCTCAAGGCAAATTGCTAGAACTTACCATGCCATAATTAAAAAGCTTTACAACTTTTTGAAAATATTAGATTTTTGATGAAATTTTTACTTCTTAAAAACTAAATAAAATGTCTGATAATTTGATATGAATATGTTTAATAACCATTTTTGACCGCTAAATGGCATTTTCTTACTTTTTTCATTGTATTTCCGTAACCGCTTGTCCTACACATGCAAACACAACCACACAAAAACACACACACATACACACACATACATCCATTTTTTCTAGTATATGCCAAAACGTTCAGAAGGCTTTGAAACGTTAAGATATATGAAAAAAAATATTTTCGATCTTTTTGCGATTACTATAACTTACCCTAAGGAAAGTTCAAATTTTTTCATTATATAAACCAACTAATAAAATAAATTAATCAGCAATAATGACACATTGTTTTTAAATCTAATTATTAAGTTTCTGAATTTTGAAAAAATCTATTCTATAAATTCGTCAAATTTATGTATCAGATAGAAAAGCTAAATAAAATCACAAATAATTCCCAATAAATCAAGATCACTGTATGTAGGAAGTAATCTTTTATTTCACATGAAACATTTATTCAAATCCGTCGTCTAATTGTAACTGTTATGTGCGTTAATAATAGAATTTAATGAAGCATCCCCGCCGACCTCCTTTGCGGCATGAGCACCCCTCTCAAACACATGTCATGGTTCGATTGTTAGAAAACCTGATGAACCTATAACATGCATGGTGCAATGGCAGCATCTGCCCTAGGGACTCTTATTTAACAGCGGGGATTTAAATGTCCCCGCAGTCAGAATGAATTTTTATCTCTTTGAGATGATCGATGCTAGAGGGGGAACAAAATCGATATTATTTCGATACGTTCGAAAATCGATATATGATAATGAATTATTTGTTATTATTTTATTGACGTATATATACTAATTTTATGATCTCTCGAATCGTTTGGCATAGAATTGAAAAAAGTAAGAAATGTGAAAAGTAAGAATCGTCCACGATTTCATTTTACAAAACTAGATAATGACTCGAATTGACTATTAATGATCAGTTTGTCATTTATTTATTTATACAGTTTAAAACATAATTTTTCATCTAAAAATTATCAGATAAATCTAATCCGATTCCAAAATTCCGATTAAGATGGTCCAAGATTATTTGAAACATAGCAGTTTAAAGCATGCTTTTACTTTTCGTAAAATAATATAAGGAAATTGAATAAAATTACAGGTTTGCGATTAATTTTGATTTAATTAATTAAGTTATTTATTCGAGATTCTGAATTTTGTTTACAAAATAATAAGTAGGGGAGACTGGGTACGGTTGTGCCAGGTTACGGCAGTGACAGTCGTCATAACAGCTAAACTATACTGATCTTGAAATATGATCAATGAAAAGGAGAAAGATAAATTATGTTTGTTCGAACAAGTTTCCATTATTGCTTTGAGTCAGCACCCAAATATGATCTGTAGACCGAATTATTTTTAAAAAGTAAGTTTTTGTGTTCGATTTTATTTATTAATAATTTTTAATCACTTTGTTGTTTTGCTGGATATTGAACATTAATAGTTAATTACCAGCGCTTAGATTAGTTTAATGTGTCCTGTATTTCTTGTTCTTTTTGGGTGAAATTTAAACAGATAATACAAA